TGCGTGCGTGCGTGTGTGTGTGTGTGTGTGTGTGTGTGTGTGTGTGTGTGTGCAGTGCTCAGTTTCCTGTGGAGGTGGCGTGCAGCAGCGTCTCATCAAATGTGTCGACACAAAGGCTGAGACCGAGGAGGAAGTGGATCAGACTCGGTGTGACCRCGAACTGAAGCCTAACAACACCCAGAAGTGTCATTTACACGACTGTGAAAACACTCCCTCAGGTTAGTAAATCATGATGTGAACAAGTGGGTTAAAAAACTGTGAAGAAATCTACTGATTCTTTGGGGGGTGGGAACACCTTTAGACTTCTATGTAAATATAAGTTTTCTTGGTGATTTTTGAATTTATTTGAAATTGTTATGTAATGTGCATCTTAGATGGTAAATTACTGAGAAATAAAACATGCATGAGGTTTGTTTTAAATAGCAGGGTACAACCATGAATCAGTGCTTGTTGTGACTGTTGAGGGTGTCTGGAAAACTGTTGAATGTAAATTTTAATCAAGATGCCTGCTTTTTCTAAAACAATACATACAAAAACTGACCTTTTTAGTTTTACGTAAGAAAGAGTCCCCTAGATTAATTATTAAAACTCAAAGATTCATCAACAGCTTTGTGTCACTGGCTGGATTAAGAGGGGAGATAATTAAAGAAAGACTTCCGTACACTTTTATTAAAACTAACTAATGAGTGGTTCACATCTCAGTGCACAGATCTGGGGTAATGAAGTGATATCTCTCTCCAAAACACTTAGAGAGAGGAAAGCAGGAGATAAACTGCTCATGTTCTGACTGGGACACAAATAACAACAAACCAGATGAGAATAACCTGAAAAAGAGAACAGTAGGGTTCTGTGGAGCTATCCCCAGTCAGTAGCTTACCTGCAGTAGAAAAAGAAGTGGCACTGGCAGAAGCGGCCGTTTTTGTGTAGAAAAATAAAAATATATTTTTTATTTTGTTTTAAAACGTCTGGGACAAATAATGGTAACAGTTTCCTGAGAACTGTTGTCATTGAATTCTCCAGGTATGGAGGAAGATGACAAGGGTCTTGATGAAAACAACGAGGAAAAGAAGTAAAACACGATTTAGCATAAATGCTAATATTAAGGAGTGACAGAAACAGAACCTAAGAGATACAGAGGCAACAACGTTAACCCAATTCACATTTGTGTGTGATAGAAGGAAACATGTTCTCAAGTCTGCGCACAATAAAAGCAAAAAATAAAGGTAGAAAAACTCAAATACAGACAACAAAACCTTGTGACAAACAGAGGTAAAATCGTCAACAAGATGACAGGAGAACTTAAAATGTTATTCAAGTCAGTTGTTGAAAATCCCTTTATTTTTTATATCACAGTGGTACACAACAGGGTTTAAAAAATGCAATGTTTTTTTTTTTTTCAATATTGTGCAGCCCTGTTGTAGTTTAGAGCTATTCTAAGCGAGGTTTGTTCTAATGTAGATTTCTGTCATTCTAAATTTAGTCCATTCTCAAAACCTTCATGGCTGTTTGAGTTAACACTATCTTTTAACCCTTTCCAACACTGTCACGTTTGCATCCATATTTATGTAAAAAAAATTATTTACTGTAAGACAAAGTTGAACAGCATTTTAGTAATGATCCATACTTAAGTATGTAATCTGGACCCCAAACCAGGCAGAAAAACTATCTGCTGCAAAAATATTGTAGAAATGTCACTTTACAGAGATTGAATCAAACATTATTTTTTTACCCTGCCTTGTTTTTCTTTTAGATGGTTACATTTAACACATTCCCAACAACAAACTTCTGTCAACTTTTTCTTTAAATATTCAGAAACTTTCAAATAAATAACCACCTAATAACATAGTGGTGGTGTATAGGTTTGTGGAAAAAATTGGTATGACCTACCATGACAAATTTGAGACTGGAGCTGTTTTAAGACAACAGAAAAATGCTTTGGATATGTTCCCAACCTGACTAGCTGTTAACTTAACCCCCTAAAAAAATTTTTAACAAGACTTTGGGCAACATCTTCTGCAGATAAAATATTGATGAACTACTCCAYACAACTCCACTTTGAAAAATCAGAGCTACTTGTTTAAAACTTGAAAAAATAACAATCGTTGACCCTATTTTCATTTCTTTCAATGTTCAAAGTCAAACACTTGTAACAAATGATTATGATTTTATAAACTTAGCATCCTTATTTTGCATAATAATAATGTATTACAGGAATTAATAGGTGCAACATCAAATCAAATCAGTTTAATCTACTTTTTTTTTTTGGACCCCTTGCTTTGGAATGTGTTGGATTTTCTGTCTAAAGAAAGTTTAACCACAAAACACAGAACGAGTTCAGAGTTCGTCATTTGATTGTTTCAGYTTGTTTTTGTAAACCAAAGACAAAGGTCCCGTCTTTAAGTCAAAGTCCTTTAACAATGTTTTAAATTTAAACAATGTCGGCAGAAACAATGATAGACTCGTGTGAGGTGATCGATGAAGGACATCTAAAAATGTCATCTCTCACACTGAGGCCGTCAGACTTTAAAGCATAAAGTTAATATTTTCTGCTGACACGGACTGTACCAGAGATATTTACAGTAGTGCTGAATTGTACCACGCTTGTTCACTTACCTCAACAAATTGAAAATGTCAAACAGATGGTGCTCTAGTCAGGATCAGTCAAGGTTGTTGTATTTAAAGACTTAAACAGAAGCACAGTCCAAAGTGGAGTAAAAAAAACATGATTTAACAGAGGTTATTTCATATTTTTCTGTGCATTTCTTACTGATCATATACTGTAAAAAACAWATATAAATTCTGGTTTGAAAATCCCTTGAAATGAAACGGACCTCACAGCAAATGAAAGTGAAGTCAGACCTTTAGGAGTGCAGGGAACAGATAATGAGAGCAGCATTCCGGCTGTAGGAAGCTGCACGAACTTTACTGCTTTCACCCTTCAAACAGCATTATTGATATGGCTTGGAATTTACCAGGCCTTACTTATAAATGCCCCGTCACAAGACTAGTGGAAAGAACTGCCAACGTTATCCTGAATGAGCTCCTTTGTTACCAGCATACTCAGATGATGAGTTGAACTTCTGCTTTTGAACTGGGGAAAAAAGAGAGGGATGAAGACGATCGCAAACAAAGCAAGTGTTTAGATCATGAGCTGTGTCTGTTACATGWAACACACCCACAGATTCACAACCCTTCTTCCAAACATGGTGGTGTTGGATGATGTCATATTGCATCCAAAACTTTTTCTTTTATGAAGATTCATAATATATTTAAGCACATCTCTAGCTTTGATGTAAACGTGTCCTTGCAGGCTATGAATGCTTCCCATTTGTGCTTTACATCTGGGGTGAATTTTTTCTTTTTTTAAATGTCTGAAAGAACAAGCTATTTGCAACAAGAGCCTGATTACTGCTAATTATGTTAAAAAATATCCCATATTAGTGCATATTAATAAGACAAAATGTAATGACGGCTAATAGGAGACATGTATAATCCTGTAGAGCTCAGACCCAWTTTCACCTCTAAATATACTGACTGCATGTTGTATGGTAAGTCAGTGGTTCCCAGCCTTGTTTCCTCTGAGCCTCTCTTCATGCACCAACAGAAAACTCGCTCCACTGATGATAAACATATGCAAAGATCCACCTCATTTGTTTTCCTCGCTCTAAAACAGATTGACAGCAGGGTCAGTCCATCCCACACAACGTGCATGAGCTGGAGCTCTCTCTTGTCTGTMGTCAGATTTTACCGTGGGGTGGGGGCACAGTGCAGGTGACGCTGCAGAGTGTCACATTATGTTTGGGTGGTAGAGGGCGTCCTTGGTTTTCACCTCTTGTCACATGATTGCTGTTTGTTGCAGCCACAGCTTTTTTTTTGTAACACTAGCTACGTTTACGTGGACATAAGTAATCAGATTAAACGGCCGTTCAGAATAAAAATGCATCATGTAAACAGCCCGTTTGGATTATTCTGGTCCGATTGAGCTCGATCCAAATGAATTTTTAATCTGAATGAGAGAGGTGGGTTATGCCAATCGATAATCAGAATGACGTTCATGTAAACACTTAATCGGATCATCTTATTCTGATTATAGAAAACTGACCTGAGWGCACAGGACTTTTATTCACCTGGTTCTGCTCTTTTGAGGAGGCGGGGCAGCAGCGTTTCCTGCTGCGCCGCACAGAACTTTTCCTCCACGCACTCTTAACAGATGAAAAAGGAGTCAAACAGCAGATGTTGCTTCACAAAAAATAAAAAATAAAACACTTATTGCTTCATCTGCAGCTCAACTGAGTAACGACATCTCTACCTTTATTAAAAGCTGACATGTGTCCGTCCTGAGCGCACAGAAGAGCTTTGTTTACGTTTGTAACACGGAAGTAGAGCTGAAAGTTTACAACACTGTGCATGTCCGGACTTTTATTCTGAATAAAAGTCCTGTGCATGTTAAGCACTTTTCATGATCGGATTGTGTCCATGTAAACAATATATTCGGATTATTTAATCCGAATACATTTCAATCCGATCAAAAAATTGTGTGCAAGTAAACAAAGCTAGTTATAGATCAGTGGAGCCACCACTGCACCTGAAACCAACTATGGGAGAAATGATGTTTGCACCACCTTAAATGAATGAGGGTGGTCTCAAACTGTGAGCAAGCTCAGAGACTAATGGTGCGTTCACACCAAACGCGATTTCAGCGTCAGGAGCAGCAGGTTTACATACAAAGTCTATGGTGGACGCGCTTCAAGCAACGTCGGGAAGTTCTGCGGCGCCTCAAGCGCGATTAGAGCAGCGCGATTTGAACGATTTGGATCGTCCAAATCGTCCAAATCGCTGAAGTTAGAAAATCTGAACTTTTGCAGCTCGACGCGCAGCGTCAACCAATCAGAGAGAC